AAGCAGAGAGAAAAATGGATATTCTGTGCTTCTGGGGATTGCTCGTGAAGCATGCAGGGATCTCAAATGGGTTGGGGTCTTTTGGCTGTGGAGGGAGGGTCATGCCTGTCTGGCCTCTGACTTTCAGAATCAAGCCTAACGTCTTTAATGCACAAGCCACGTTCTGACTCAGCTTCCAGACCCTGACTCCTGACGGCAGGCCCTGTGGGGCTGCGTTTCCCAAGGGGGGGCTACCTTGTCACTCATCCTTGCCGTAAGAATGGGAGACAGGTATCACCATCGCAGTCATTTTACAGATGCAGGACTCCGCCAGAGAATGAGGCTTCTCACTGTCTTGCATGACTGTAACTTGAGCACTAAGCTCCAGGCTTCTTGCCTGTGTGATGTCCCTGTCACTTGCCTTTGAATGCATTTTTGTCCCTCTGATGTATCCTGGAAGACTCCGCTCACGCAGCCCTTTTGGAGAGATTTTCTTTACGCACTTTGCAGGGAACCGCAGCCATGGGGGTTTGATTTGCCTCTGAAGAAGTCAAATGTGAGCTCATCAAAGAGAAGGCCCAGCCTCTCTGGCCTCCATCTCTGCAAAACCTGGCACTCTTCTTCATGCCACATGATAAACACTCTTCTCTGTTGCACCGAGTTAGCTAGTGCTTTCTGGATACCAGCGCAATTCTAATTTAGCAAAGTGTACGTACGGCATACGACCAGGCTGTAGGTGCGGATTCCCACAGACTGAGGCTCTTGATGGAAAACGAAATTATGCTTTTTTTCTCGGTCCTTCATAAAACTGAGATCTTCGGTGTGACTATTAGTGTCAGGGGTGTTGGAAGGGTGGCAATAAATTTTGCAGTGTGGGAACACACACACACACACACACACACACACACACACACACAGGTAGAATTCAGTGAATCATCTCCTTCTGGCTCAGAAGACGAGGCTAGTTTCGAGAAAGCCACCAAGGTCTGTTTCATCCTTTGGCTTCTTCCCCAGGATTTATGAGTCTCAGTCTTGGGCCAGATCTCAAAAGTTAGTGCTCAGTACACTAGCCTTTGTTACAGACACCTTCCAATAAACCAGAGCGAGCTCAGAGCTGCGGGGAGATCTATGGCTACCATAACTCTCCCCTCAACCTGTGCCTTTCTGTCTGGCTCTGGCAGCAAAACTGAAATGATGACACTTTGCACCGTGCACCCCATCCCCACCTGAGATGCATGAATCTTCAAACTCCCTTCAGGAAACCCGGTGCTTTGGTTATGATGCCCGCTAGACAAAGGTCTGTCAAGGATCCGGTTATTTCTGACCAGTGAGGGCCCAATCTCCCGTACCTGAATGTCAGTAAATGTGGCTAGGATTCTTGAATCGTACCCCCCACCCGTCCTTGAAAAAAATCTACAGCTTTTGAACAAAACACACGCTGCCAAACCGTCTCCTGTCGTGAACTAAATCTCTGTCCTGGAACTGGATACACTTCCGAAGGTAGTTTTAACTGTTTTGAGAAACTGCTTAACGTGGTCGATCAATCCGTCCCCCAAGATTCAAGATGGCATTTCCCTCGCAGGATTAATTATTCATACCCCGATCGCTGGCTGAAGACATTAATAGTTTTCATTGATCAGCACATCCTGTTTATCTGAAACGGACCCATCACCGTGAATGGCAGGCAGAAGGCGATCTGAACAAATCCCATCCGAGACACCCCTGGCTTTCAGTCACGTCAGCGGATCAGAGGTCAAGGGTCCCTTCTGTTGTCACGGCGTATTAGGTCGAATGTTGGAGAACTGAGCTATTTAAGGGCACAAAACAGGAACCCAGGGGCACTAGACACTGAGCCACCTCCCTGTCTCTATTTTGCATTTTATTTAGAGACAGGGTCTCACTGAGCTGCTTAGCACCTTACTTTGGCTGAGGCTGGCTTTGAACTCACCATCTTCCTGCCTCAGCCTCCCGAGCTGCTAGGATGACAGGGGTGCACCACCGTGCCTGGGTGTGATCTCAAAACAATAAAACATCAGGGCTTTTACAATCAGTACGTACCAAATATACACACCAGAAATACTTACAAGTTTTGTTAATTTCTTAACTATTATCAATTGTTTTTTTTTTTAACAACTAAAAAATACTGAGAGTGAAGGAATGATACTGTCTGGAAATATATGTTGCTGTGTAGTTTTTCAAAGAAGTTTTATTCACTGAATCAGGAAGTTTCCCTCAAAATGACTTAGAGAGGGATGGGGCAGGATTGCAAACCCAGGATCTCATAATTAGTTACTGCAAGAGTTGTGACAAGATAATATAAATGGAAGAAATGATCTACAGTAGAAGGGGTAGAGAGAGAAAAGGGGAGGGGAGGGGAGGGGAGGGGGGATAGTAGAGAATAGGACTGACAGCAGAATACATCAGACACTAGAAAGGCAATATGTCAATCAATGGAAGGGTAACTGATGTGATACAGCAATCTGTATACGGGGTAAAGTTGGGAGTTCATAACCCACTTGAATCAAACTGTGAAAGATGATGTATTAAGAACTGTGTAAGGTTTTGAACGACCAACAATAAAAAAAAAAAAAAAGAGTTGTGAATAGAGAGCTGGACCTAGTAAGGTGGCCCTTGCCTGAGACTGGAATGGCTCAGGAGACCGAGACAGGAGCATAGCGAGTTCAAAGCCAGCCTCAGCAAAATCAAGGCGCTAAGCAGCTCAGTGAGAGCCTGTCTCTAAATAAAATACAAAATAGGGCTGGGAAAGGGGCTCAGTGGTCAAGTGCCCCTGAGTTCAACCCCAGTACCCAAAAACACAATGCTGCACACCTGTAATCCCAGCAACTCAGGAAGCTGAGGCAGGAGGATTGCAAGTTCAAGGCCAGCCTCAACCACTTAGGCCCTAAGCAACTTAGCAAGACCCTGTCTCAGGAAAAAAAAAAAAAAAAACAGAAAAGAAGCCGCAGCTGTGGTGTAAAAGAGAATACCAATCTCCTGATCTTGCTAACTAATGAAAAGGCTCCTCTTTCTGACCCCCCTGGGCGCACACCTGTGGATGGAGACTCTCAGGCCAAAAATACTCCCTTCCTGGATCACGTCATATTGCATTGCAATGATGTGAAGTTGTGGGTGGCTCTTCTCACTGGAGGGTGAGATCCTGGAGGGTGGAGAGGGCCTCTTCCTCATGGGGCGGGTCCCCTGCGTCTGTCTGGCTAGCAGAAGGCGCCCCATCTGTACGTCCGTGCGCGGCTGGCGGTGGGCTAGACTGAGAAGGTGGGTGGGTAGGTGAGCGAAAGCAAAGCTCTGTTTTCCCAGGGTCACATTGTGGACCTTCAGCAACGGATAGCGATTTGGCCTTGTTGGAACGACACGACGTTGAACGAAAATGTTTAACCTGATGTCCAGTGTTTACACTTGCAAAGCACAATACTGTTTTCAGCTTTTCTTTGGAAAGATGTGGGGGCCCCTGCCATCCTGGATCTGCGCCCCCCCCCCCACTCCCATATGCTTGCCATCTGCTTGAACCGAGCAGCATCTGCTCCGTTTACCCAGGACGTGCCTGAGCTGGGTCAGTCTGCCCTCCCCATGGACAGGGTTGTGTGCTTTGTAGCTTTTAGTACACCAGCAAAGGTCACCTCTCTTTACTCCAGAATTCTGTTGTACGATCCCTGGCTGATGGGAGAAGTGCTGTTTTTATTCATGCTCTGGGTTTCTCCAAAAGAATATCCTAGACAGTTGCTCGGACCTGGTAGGAGTTCTGTCATTGGGCCACGGAGCTGTGTGTTTTCCAGTGCGTTTTGTATTAGTTGGCTTTTCCTTGCTAGAATGAAATACCTGAGGCAGGCTACTTAGGAAGAAAAGGATATATATATATAGCTTATACTCCCAGAGATTGAAGGTGCAGACAGCATGGTACAGGCTCTGCCAAGGGCCCTAGAGTGGGTAAGAAGGGTGCATGGGAGAGATGGCAATCCCATCAATAGTTAAAAAGTCTGGGTGCAGTGGCGCACGCCTGTCATACCAGTAGCTTGGGGGGCTGAGGCAGGAGGATGGCGAGTTCAAAACCAGCCTCAGCAAAAGCCAGGCACTAAGCAACTCAGTGAGACCCTGTCTCTAAATAAAATACAAAACAGGGCTGGGGATGGGGCTCAGTGGTCAAGTGCCCCTGAGTTCAATCCCCGGTACCCCCCCAAAAAAAATTTAAAAAGAAGAAAATATTAACAAAAGCCAGAGACTAACTCAGGAGTAGGGCTTGCTCTCAGAACACCTATCCTGTCACAAGAACTCGGGGATCCCAAGAGAGACACCACCATCCCTTCTGAGGGCAGCTCCTCCCCCCCAACCCCAATGACCTAATCACCTCCCACCAAGCCCCACCTCTTAAAGGGCCCACTACCTCCCACATCACCAGAGTGACGGCCAAGCTTCCAATATACCTAAAGCTTTGGGGGAAGACCCTCCGGCCATATCCAAACCATGGCACATTTTAACAACAAAACACAGAACACAGGGCAAAATACGTTCGAATCAATGGTGACGTCACAGTCCCCATGCATATTTCCATTCTAAAAAACTGGGAGGATGACCTTGAAGTCCACACAAATTAACCCTGTCTACTCTTCTGTTCTGCGGTGACTTTTCTGAATCTGTTTTTTTTTTTTTGGTGGGGGGGGGGCGGGCTGTGATGGCTTGGAAAATAAATAACCACGAGGCCTGACCACTAAGTGGTGGAGAAAGACCTTCCACTGTCCCGGTAGGAAGTAGGGAGCATGCCTTATCTTCCCTCAGTGACCACAGAGACGGGCCAGCCGGTGCAGGGCCTGGCCACCTGTTCTTTGCCATAGTATGCTTCCTAGCCATAATCGAAAGCGGTGTGTTTTTTTTTTTCCTTTCACCCTCAGCCACACTTTTCCACACAATGATTTTTATTTATATTCCAGCAGAGACGCGTGTGCGGGGACCACAGGGAGAGGGATTCCCGAATCTCATCGCAGCGTCTCTCTCTCTCTCGTCTTCCACAGATTAAAGGTTGCACCGAACTTAAAGAAGAAGCAGTGATCCCCTTCCCTCGTTCCTGGGCTCGAGACTCCCCGGACCTCAGAAGCTGAAGATGCGGTTGCCATGGGAACTGCTGGTCCTGCAGTCCTTCGCATCGTGCCTTGCAGGTAGAGTGTCGTCGTTTCAAAACTTCTTTAAAAATTTTTTATTTAAAAAAGAAAAATTAAAAAAAAAAACGCCACCACTGTATGTCACACTGATTCCAAAGCGGGCCTTGGCTTGGGGTGGCCATGGTCCGATCGCGGGCGCGAACGCTCCTCTGATTGGCATTTGCTGACGCGGTCCAGGGCCCCTTCCTGATGGGCTTGAGGCCGCTCTTTCGTCGTCTTCTTTTCAGAGATGGACATGGAGGGTCCAGCTCTCTGTCTGGTCCTCTGAGAGTCACTGGAGCCATTATTCAGCCTGGAAGTTGTGATTTTGCTTCATGCTGCCGCTCAGTTGCTCGGAGATATTGGGCCTCAAAACCGATAGAGTCTGGAGTGTGGCCTCTTTTGATGTCAGTGGATGCACGTTTACCTGGGTGGCTCTTTCAATGTCCTCGCCGATGTCACTCCATCTTTTGACACTGACTCCTTTTATGCCCATGCACCTGTGGTCTCCAAAGAGCAATTAGGCAGGCGGTTTTTAACCACAGACCCATGGCCGGCTACGGGAAAAGGGGCTTATAACACTTCAAAGGTGCTGTTTATGGCTTTTCCAGTTTATTGGAAGATGGAGCCCTGGCCATTGACATCCCCTCTCGTTCTAGCCCAGCCCGCCCTGGGTCTCTGTCTCCATGTTGGGATAGATTGCATCTTCCTAGTTAAGTCTAATGAGCACAGTTGATCTACTTTGATTTTGCAGAATGTCAAATCCAAGAAAGACACCTAGAGACTTTTTTTTTTTTTAAACAAAGCGACTTTGGGATCCCCCAGTATCTGGATGCTTGCTTTCATTTAAATATCGCTGAGTCCCTTGCCTTGAGACAGCCCTGTACTGTGATCTGGGAGCTGAACCCCGAGCGAGACAGACAAGCAGTTGCTCTGTTAAATCTATGTGAGCTTGGATCTCTAGCTCCTGACACCTCGTTATAGCCAACGTTTGCAATTATGATAAAACCCAAGTTAGCGATGATAGTCCTGACGCGAATCACTTTGCTCCGTGTCAGTCACTCGGCTGAGCACTTGGTATCCTTAATCTCGTGTCACTCTCCAGTGACACCTGGGAAGTAAATATTTACCGTCTGTTTTTACTCTCTTCATTACTAATATGATTACAGAAGCATCAACAGAGTATTCAGGAACTCAGGCAAGGTCACAAAGTCTGCAGATGGGAGAGCAGAGACTCAAAATTGAATCACGCTGCGGTCTTGACCTTCAATTATTCTCGACATTCTTGGACCTGTCCATTTGGCCCATTCACGGTTGCAGATTTACTCTTGAAAGTTTATGTTCTTCTAAATGTAAACCTTTGTGCATTTGCAAATCTTCTAATGCACTCCAGACTTACTTCTTACCACAGCTGAGTACACAACATCCTCCCTCTTCCATGATTGTGAACATCTTACGTCTCGTTTAGAGATGTTCTTTATCTCCCTCATTGGTCCAGAACCTAAATGTCCCATAACCCCAGCAATATGTCCCAGGCTCCATGCCTCTGGCACCCAACTCTCCACAAAGGGTCTATTGAGACCCTCAGCTTCTGATGATTCCATTATAATCTTTTTTTTTTTTTTTTTGGTACCAGAGATTGAATCCAGGAGTTCTTAGCAACTGAGTCACATCCTCAACCCTTTTTATTATTTTTATTTTAAGACAGGGTCTTACTGAGTTGCTGAGGCAGGCTGTGAACTTGGGATCCTCCTGCCTCAGCCTCCTGAGCCACTGGGATTACACATGTGTGCCACCCCACCTAACAACAATATTCATATTTTTCAAGCTATAAATAGTGAATCAGTTTCTCAAGCTTTGACTAAGACAATGTGTTCATTCAACCAGTCTGCTTCAGTAGATATAAAAAATGAAAGGATTGAAAGTCAAAAAAGCCATTCAGATGTCTTTGGAAAAACTTGGAAATCTTACCTGTATCTTTTTTTTTTTGTCCCCCACTTAGCTAGTTGTCAGCAATAGGTATATTGATTGTTTTTGTGAGCTTTTCTTGTGAACTGTTTTACATGACATTAATATTCCCTCACCATATGCCTCCTTCCGTGGAGGTAAAGTCAACCTCTAATTAATGTTTTTGTTTTCTCCCTATTCGTCTTGATTTCATTAATTTGCATAGCACTTGACACTCTGCATTTGGAACAGATTTTTGTATCTGTTCACTCTTTTCTTTTCTGTGTATCATCCATAATTTTTCTACACTTGCTCAGTCTCACATTTCTTGGTGAGTTTGGAAAAGAACATATTTACACCCGTTTTGTTTACCACCATTAGTAAAATCTCAAACATGCCTTTTCCTGGTCATTCCCCAAAGAAGAGAGGATCAAAATATGTCAACGGGCTAATCCTGCAAGGGGTGGCAACTTATAATTATTTAGTTATCGGAGGGCTTGGATCAACGAATCATTTTTGGAACAGTGGTCATAGTTTTCTGTTTAACCCCATGCAAGACTCAGTCTCTGGCAGTAATTTAAAAACAAACCAACACAACAGAACAAACAAAAAAACCTACTGCCGCCCATGGTCTAAACATCCAGCCGCTGAAACAATTGACTATATTCACTTCCCCCATACGTCATTCAAACCAATAATCACAATACACCGCAACTCAAAAGAGCAAAGAAACTAGCAAATGAGCAAACATGTTTTAAAGAAGTAAAAGTGTACCATGCTAGGGGCTGGGGATCTAGCTCAGTGGGTAGAGCGCTTGCCTTGCATGCACAAAGCCCTGGGTTCAATCCCCAGCACCACCACTATAACAACAGAAGAGGAAATTTACTTTGTAGTCTTGATCGTGCCATTTGTACATTTATATGTTAATGTCAAACCAAGATTCTTTGGAAAGAAATGAAGGCATTATATATATTATATATTATATTATATTAAGGCATTATAAATATATATATTATATATATTAGCCTTTTCCTGACAACTGTTTCCGTATCTTCTACGCCTCCTATTGCTTAACTTTCTTGCAGAACTCATATCAATACTTTAATAACAATCTTTTTTGTTGGCTTGTATATAAGATATCTTTCCTCACTAGATTATGAATTTTATTAGGGCAGGTACTTCTGCCATGTGTGTGTGTGTGTGTGTGTGTGTGTGTGTGTGTGTGTGTGTGTGTTACCAGGGATTGATCCTGGGGGTACTTAACCAGTGAACCACATGCCCAGCCCATTTTATTTTGTATTTTGAGACAGAATGTAAGTTTCTCAGGGCCTCACTAAGTTGCTGAGGCTGGCTTTGAACTTGTGATCCTCCTGCCTCAGCCTCCCTAGCTGTTGGGATCACAGGTCTGCACCCTGGGGCTGGCTGTCTGTCTTTCTTTGTTCACTGCTGTATCCCCGGCATCTGAGAAATACCTGGTACATAGTGCAATTCAACAGATACGTATTGAAGGAATGAACACTCCATGCTTGCCAATCAAGAGATGTTGGAGCTGTCCTGTGGACACAAGGTGTTCTGGCCTCAACCCTTCAATGAATGAACCCCCGGTGAGGCCAATCCATATAAGTTTTAATTTTTTTTCTTTTTTTTTTTTACGTTTATATTGGAGTATGGAAAGTATTAAAATTGGCTGGTATGCATGGAGCTCTACAGCAGATCACGCTGGTACACTCCTGGCCCATTTCCAACTTCCAACTCAGCTGGGCTGGAATTTTCCCTTCTCTATTTCTCTGCCTCAGGTCTTTCTGCAACTCACAAGCTCAGGGCACTATGAGACTTCTGCATCCTGCTAGGGGGCAGTGCTCAGCCTAGGAGGTATGATAAATCAGTAAATAAATGCCTCCGTCTCCTCTCTCATTTGAGAAGTCAATTCTGGACCAGTTCTGGTGCTAATAGAAGGTGCTTCCTGTCTCTCAGTGCAAGCATCCCACAACGTATTCAGTTGACCACTCTGTACAGTGACGGGGTGGAACAGGTGACTTCTAAAGTCCCCTTGTACTCTAAAAATTTCCAGCGTTCTATCCGTACACATGGTTAGAGAGGCAGACATCTATGTATGCTGATAGGATTAGAGCAAAGTCTGCAATTCTACTGAACAAATGTGAAATTTCCCATCAGTCATACGCTCTGCCATGTGCTACTGATTGGCAGAATTTGCAAGAAAGAAATCAAACTGGCTGGTCCATATGCTCCTGTGGAGCAAGAGGCATGAAGACATTTAAAACCCCTCTGTGAATGAGTGCAAAAAAAAAAAAATGTTTGCTTGATGTGCTCCTAGTTGATCTTGGTTTCAGGGAAGCTAAATTTATTTCCTTCTCTGTGGTGCCATTTTACCAACTTCAGCAATTACCTCCTTTTGAGAAAGTGCCTCCTCTCCAAGGCGAGCATTCTGTTGATTTGCTCGCAAAATCCATGCCGCCGTTCACAGCTGCATCTCACGGGAGGTGAGCAGGAGGGAAAGGGTCCTGTATAATTCATGGGAGATATATCCCGAAATTGGTGTGTGTTCACCAAAAAAACGAGAGCGCGGAGGAGTCCCGGATTGAATAGTCAATCACAGGCACGTAGCTGGAATCTCTGATGTAGGGAATGCAAATCGAGGCCATACCTGCAAAATCCGAGCACATGGGACGAATGCTTGCTTAGTGGTCCTCAGAAGGTGTCTGAGGATTCTAAAGCCTCCATTGCTCACACTGAAGCAGGCTGTCGATGGTAGTGGCTCATTCTTGATTCTCAGAGTACACAGGCAGAGTCACGTGCCGCAGTCTTGGTGGGTGTCAATGATAGAATCTGATGAGCACAACATTTCCACTGAATCAAAATGTTTCCGCAAAGCTCAGGACCTGCCCCCCCCAAAAAACACCCTCCTTTCTTCCTAATGCACATTACAGAGAAGTTAGTTTTAAGACTTGACTTCACCGAACAGCCAAGTGTCCGGTTTCAATTTCCAAGACATTCATGTCCCCTGAATAAGCAAGAAAATCAGGCAACGCTCAAATAACTCACAGTTCTAA